TTGAGTCCAGTCTGGGCAACTTATTGAGACACTGCCTCAAAACAAAAATCTTTTTAAAAGAGCTGTGAATGTAGCTCAGTGGAAAGGCCATTAATTCAATCTTGAATACCAAAATGAACAAATAGATAAAAATAAAATATTTGAAAAATCAATTTTATAGCTGTATCAAAAAATTAAATGATGTACTGACCCAGTCCTAAAGGAAGGAAATACTTCTCATGTTTTCAAAAGGGGAACCAGATCAACCAATCCACTATGGGCATGTTTGGGAGCCATTTTCACCCTTACGTATTAAAAAGATGATAATTCTTATTTTAAAAAATAATAACAGCTATTCAAGCATATTTGCCTCCTCTTTAGAGTTAACAATTTGACCAAGGCACAATATAGTTTATTTCTCTTTCATAATTAGCTATTTAAAGTACAAAACATTTTTAAATGTTTTCAGCAATGATAACAACAACAATAATAATTGGAGCTAGCCAGTTCAGCATAAGAAAGTGACAACACTGGGTTATGTCCATGAGTCAGCCCAATCCTGCCTAATTTGGGCTTCTGATTTACACCAGGCCCAGAGACTCCCATGAATGGGACCTTGTGGTCCACAGACAGCAATGCCGTTGTTGTCTCCTGTCCTAGTCCTCCCTCATAAATGGAAAAAGAATTGTTTTCCAGTGAAAAATTATTTTGTTCAAAAATAGGAAACATTCTGCCAAAATTAGGATTATTTTAATAATCTGTGATTAATCCAAATGCATAAATTTCATACATGAACCCCCCTCATATGTTTCTTTGAAAATTTATCAGAAAACAATCTTGAAATTTTATTCCCTTGACCATTCTGTAGCCTTGTTCTACCTCAGTCTCTCCTCTCACTCGTCTCTTCTTCCTCTTCTACTTCTCTCTGTTCCTTCCTCCCTCCTTTCTCTCTCCCTCTTTCTCTCCCTTCTTTCCTCCTTCCCTCCTGCTATCGACTCCAACACTGAAGCCATGGACCCCAGGTCCCTCCTTACTTCCTGGAAACCTGGTTGTTCATTCCTTTGCTCTGGCCAGCTCTCTAGGTTTAAGGTCTTGCTAGTATTTGATGTCTCTGTGCATCTCGGGTACCTCTCAAGAGGCTGCATAGTACAAGGACTGCAGGCTTTGGTGGCAGAGCCTCCTAGGTTTGAACTTTGGCTGGACTTGTTCTGCTAGTTGTGATTGAAAGCAGTGTGACCAAAGCTTCTCCTCCTCTGAACTTAATCCCCTAACCTGCACAATGGGGATAAAACCCTGAGCCAGGCACAGTTCTAAGAGCTGGGCGCGTCCTAGCTCATTTAATCCTCACCAACAGTTCCTGAGATAAGTATAAGCTACTTCTGCTGTGCTACTGATGAGAAAATTGGGACCTGGGAAGGTGAAGTAACTAACAAAGGCCACATAATTATAAGAACACAGTCAGGATTTGGAGGCAGAGCATTGTTGTGCTACCTGTAATCACGTTTACCAAGGTTAGAGCCCTGCCCCATGCACAAAATACATACTAAATGAATAAATACTAAATGAATACTAAATACTAAATAAATACTAAATGAATACTAAATTCTAAATGAATAAATAAATAAATAAAATCAATGCATCCGTTTCCCAATTTGGAAGTCAGAAAACAGAATCACTAAAAAATATAGACTGCCACTTGAATCTGCTCCATGCATATTTGGAAAAAATACAACTCTGGATTATCATTTGTGCCCAAATTATAATTTAAAAATACAATAAATAAACCTAGGATGTATGCTTCTTGCCATGACATTCTCTTCTCAGCTCTCATGTATACATGAGACTGTGGGCTGTTGGAAGCCAGTCTAAGAATGCTGGCCCACATCTGGAGTTGCTGTTTCAGAAAGACTAACAGAGGAAAGTCTTCAAGGCCTGTAGATCTTTCACTTGATGTAGATTCAGACGAATAAATCATCTTTTTCTTTTTCTCTTCAGATTCGAGTAGATAATGGTTGTTATATTCACATAAAAGTATTCCTACCTCTTTCTGGACAACATGAAGATACTTTGGAACTTTCTGGTTACCAGACTGACAAAAGCAAGGAAGATGAGCTGACTGGCTTTTAATGGCATGTTCCAAAAGGGGTCTGATTCTCTGCTCTGGCTATCGATTAATGATCCTTGTTAGTAAATATAACCATCAATAAAGAAGCATTCCTTTTCAAATAAATTTCAGTTTTTATTCATTTGTTCTATTAAACAGAAATGATCTTTACTTTCTCAAGATCAGTATTATTGTTGTAGAGTAGAAATTCCATACAAATTAATGCTAACTGGAAATCTTAGTCTCCCACACCCACATACACACCCAGTGGCAGGCCAGGTCTTGTTCATTAGGTAATCAATCTCCTGTTCCCTGTGATTTCTTTTTTGGGGGGCAGGGGGTGGGGTACAGGACCTTGTACTTGTGAGGCAGGTGCCAGCACCACTGAGCTAAATCCCTGGCCCCTCCTATGATTTCTGAGAACCCAAGATTCCCTCCACCCTCATATTTTAAAATCAAATTATTTTGAAACAATCTCAAACATAAGGAAAAGCTGCAAAAAAAGGCCTTTTTTGTCAGATATTTAAGAGTCTGTTACCTACAGTAATTCCCTGTCACCAACAAATACTTACTAGTGTCCCCTAATACAAATACCAGTGTGCATTTCTCACAGCCAAGGACATCTGTTGCAGAAATATACCCTTCCCACCCTTTTGTTGACATAATTTACTTAAGATGCAAGTAATCTACTTAAAGTGCACAATCCAACGTTTTTTAGTATATTTACAAATGTGTGCAAATCACCATGTCAGTTATAGAATATTTTCATCACCTTAAAATGAAACCGCATACTAGCTAATACCTTTCCATCCTCCTCCACTTCACCACTCTACACACACAGTAGCACCCTCTATATCTAGATTTGCCTATTCTAGACCCTTTATATATGTAATATATAATTTGTTTATGATATATAATTTTTATATATGAGATCATGGTATTTGACATTTTGTAACATGCTTCTTTCACTTAGTATAATGCTTTCAAATGTTCATCTGTGTTGTAGTATGTATCAATATTTTACTCCTTTTTATATTTAATGGTATAGGGTCTTAGTTACTTTCTCCTTGCTGGGACAGAATACCCAATACCCACAAGTTAAAGAAGGAAAGGTTTATTTTAGTTCACAGTTTATAACAATTTCAGTCCATAGTTGTCTGGCTCCAAGGCAGGGCAACATGGCAGAGGGGCATCATAGAGGAGAAACAGTCCAGGGCAGAGCAGGAAGAAAGCAGTGAGACTTCCTTCTTTACCTTTTTATTCTGCCCAGGCTACAAGCCTATTGGTTGGTGCCACCCACACTCAGGGTGGTTCTTTCCTCTTCAGTGAATCTGTCACCCACACATAGAACTATGCTAAACCAATCAGTTACTAATCCAGTATCACACACCTGTGATCCACTATCACACATCCATGATCCAGACACTCTCAAAAGCCCCACCTATGAGTGGATGAGGCTTTGGGGAGACGTCTAGATATAAGCCATAACAAATAGTTTACATCATATCTGTAAATATATTAGTAGTGAATAAGTTTCATAATGTTTTTATATTTTATAATGTTTTTATTATATGTTGAAAAATTATGGTTGTATATATTTATGGGGTACAAAATGATTTATGATGTGTAAATACAATGTGAGATGATTAAATCAATCTAACCCATGAATCTCCTCAAATAGTCAATATTTTTGAGACGAAAACATCTGATATTTACTCTTTTAGTGATACTGAAATCTATAGTACTCAATTATAGCCATATTCACCATGTTGTGCAATAGATTTTTTAAACACCCTAAAAAAATAACTGGGCATGATGGTACATGCCTGTATCCTAGCACTTGGGAAGCTGAGGCAGAGGAATTTCTAGTTTGGGGCCAGCCTAGGCTACATAGTGAGAATACGTGTCTCAAAAAAATTTATTAATCCTATGAAACTGAGGCTTTGTAACCTTTGATCACCATCTTTCCATCCCTATCAGCCCCCAGCTTAGGTAATTGTTATTCTTACCTCTGCTTCTATTAGTTCAATGGTTTTGAATGCCATATATAGATGAAAATCATGCAGTATTTGTCTTTCTGTGTTTGGGTTATTTCATTTAGCACAGTGTTCTCCAATTCCATACATGTCACAAATGACAGAACTTTTTTCCTTTTAAGGCTTACTAGTCTTCCAGGGTGCATATACACCATTTTTTTTTAGCCGTCATTTGCTGATGCACATTTAGGTTGATCCATAACATACTATTATGAATAGCACTGCAGAGAATGTAGGCATGGAGACGTCTCTTCAATATATTATTCTCAAGTTTTTAAGATACATATCTTGACGTGGAATCATTTGATCATATGGAAGTTCCATTTTTAGTTTTTTTTGAGGAACCTGCATACAGTTTTCTCTAATAGCTGCATTCATGTGTGTTCCTTCCAACAGTCTCCAAGGGCTCCCTTTCCTCAGCATCCTGGCCAATACTTTTATCATTTTTTATAATAACCACTCTAATGGGGGTGAGGTGATATCTCATTGTGGCTTTAATTTATATCTCCCTAATGGGTAGTGATATCAAGCACTTTTTATATATTTATTAGCCATTTGTATGTGTTCTTTTGAAAAATGTCTATTCATAATTTTTTGCTCATTTGTAATTGGATATTTTCTTTTGATAGAGTTGTTTGAGTTCTTTATATATCTTCTTGCATATTAATCCCTTATCAGATGTATGGCGTGCAAATATTTTCTCTCAATCTGTAGGTTGTCTTTTTTTTTCATTAAGTTTATTGATATATTTTAGATATAAAATACAGTTAAATTCAAGGTACAAGATCATGGGGATCTTGTACCTTTACATGATGTATATTGGTTCTTATTTTTTCCCCCTCCCTTGCCCTCCCTTCACCCCTTCCACCCTTCTCTATTTGCAAAGACTTTATTTCCATTTTTTTTCCTTTTCTCATATTTTTCTTTTTTTGTTTGTTTGTTTC